TGCTATATTAGGGTCCCCTATTTTTCCAAACTGGGTTTTCGCAGTTTTGGTAGGGATGGGTCGGGCTTTTCTGACGCATCCGCGATAGGATGCGGACAAGATCCCGACCCCAGTCGGCAGGACGGGCGGCAAGCCCCAGCGAGGAGAAAATGCTTTTGTACCGACTCATCAGTGACTATTTGCAACGTTTTGAGTTTTCTTTCTTTAAATTCTCGTCTCTAGCAGCTTTGTTGTACACACCCGCTCCAATCTTCCGACCCACTGCGTAAAACCCAAACAGAAGAAGCGCATCCGCCGCTTCCACCGCCACCGCCCCCGTTGCCGCCACCACCAGCAACAAAAGCAGCCAGAATAATGAAAAGAAGCAGCAGAAGCAGAAGAAGAATAAGCAGAACAATAGTAATAATCATGAGTAGGAGAAAAAGGATAAGAATAGTAATAAGAATAAGAAGAAGCACAGCAACAGCAGACAACTACGCAAACAGACAAAACAATAGACACCAGCACATCGTCCGTGCAACAGCAGCAACAGCAAGGGCAGCAGCAACGATGAAAACCCGAACCAACAACCACCTGGTGACTCTGCAGAAGAAGAAGCACCAGGAATTGTAACAAGCTTGAGACGGCGATTCCTGCTTGGCCCAAGCGATAACGACAGGGTAGCGCACAAGTTCGCCATTCATGATCGCCAAGAGCCCGGTTTTCGGTTGAGAACCCTGGAACCCGAACCGCTTGTTGAAAGTTCCGGGTGGCTGGAGGCTTCATGCTCAGGGGTTTCGGGATTGGGCCGGTGCGGTGTTTCAGCTCGGGAGTTGTGCGCGTCTTGGCTTTTCTACATCACCTGGCGGATTTGCCGTAGGCCTGCGGAGCCTAAACCCAAAACCTTGAACATAGGGTCCAGCTTCCAAGGAGGAGCCGCCCAGGGACTGGCTTCAGAAACTTAGACAAGTAAAGCCTCGAAGCAGCCAGGCAAGAAAGGTCTAAGGCTCTAAGGTTTAGGGTTTAGCCAGAAGGCCCCCAAAACAGCCCAGAACCCCAAGTCATAAGCGCCCAAAGTTCTAGTTCAAACAACCCTTACGCCCTGCTTCCCTAGATTCCCCCAACCCACCCCCTCGACTTGCCCTAAACCCTGGAGCCCTAAACCC